AAAAAAAAATCTCACAAAGCTTAAACATAAGGAAAAATATATAAAGGCCCTAGATTTGTTCTGCTTGCCCTCTTATGATTTGAGGAGTTTTGATCAGTATTTTGTTGCTTGGAAGAAAAATCTTACTAAGAGTATATCTCTACAGTGTAGAAAGGTTTATTCTTCTGGCTGTCTATAGGTCTTCAGAGTTCATGAATAGAAGCTGGCAATACTGAGATGTAATGCAGACTATCAAAAAGCAAATATCTAAACTAGGCCAGATGAATCACCTCCTAGGAAAATTCCTCTCCTTTGACTATAAAAAGACTCTACAGCAATTAGCTCAGCTACGGACACCTAAACTCTAGTTATCCAGAACAGCTGAAATGAATCTCCCTGCTGGTGTCAGCAAACTGGAAATGGCTTATAATAAAACCCAGTTTCTTTTCAACAGCTCAGCTATGACATGAAAGTCTGCACAATCACTGACAGACAAAAAATGAACATTGGGCTTCAAGGTTTCCCCTGCCTCTAGACCCAGGGTGGGCTCAGGCTTCCAGCAGAGCACCAGAAAGGATTGTTACCTCGCTGGGTCACGAGACTGGATATGTGGTCAAAGGCCATTTATGTGTACATTTTTGTTTTATAATCCAACTAATTAATTGACAAAATTTGTCAAGTTAAAATGTAGTGAATTCCCTCCCTGCTCTCTCAGCTGTCCTCAACAGGGTGTTAGTCAGGACCCAGCCACTATGCTGACACAGCTTCCCGGTTTCCTTTCCACTGCTCCGTTTCCTTTCCAAATTGAAAATTATTAGAAGTCTTTAGGCAAATAATAGAAACATAATGCAAGTGCCTGTTATAAATCGTTCACGAGTTACTTTTAACCTAATGTCTCTTCAAACATTACTTTGCAGAAGGCAGCGAGGGTAAGAAATGCCTCATGAACTCACTATCACAGGGTCAGGAGTTAAGGTCATAATAATGTAGCCCATTTCTCCTTGTTTGTCAAATAACCTGGATGCAGTTACATCCCTGGATCTTTCACCTGAGATTGACTCCCCTCAGTAGGAACATGAGTCTGCTGGGGAGCAATCCTTGTCCTGGGTCAAACCCTCTGTACAACCTAAGCAGGGTAGGTGCCATAAGGCTGGTGGTGCCAATTTACTGTTCATGCAGGATTCTGCCACTCACAAAGCCACAGCTTTCCTAGGCATGGCTTGAGGATGTGCACAGTCTGGATCTGCTACATGTCTGAGGTTAAATTTATCAATGTTGGTGAGGGAGCTCGATTTTCATAAATAGAAATTGCTTGAGAAATTTGAAGTATTCTGCAAGCAAAATAAAATAGGAAGTAAACATTAATAACAAGAGTTAGTAATTACTGGTTTAATGCAAAATAGACAAATGTACAGAAGTGCCTATTAATTCTGAATCACTGAAGCAAATATCTAGTCTCCAGAGCTGGAAATGCTGCCTAAAATGCCAGTGTGATTAAAATCTGCTTTCATCAGCTAAGCATCACGTCTTGTTCTCAGAAGAAAATTCCTCCCATGTTCACTGGCAATAATATCAAACATTACACAGGGGATAAACCTCCAGCTCTGTGTGTGTACCAAACAAGGCATGCAAGAGGACAATCTGTTAGCATGTATGCTCCTGAACACAGCAGACATGTCAGGTGGTTGGAAGTATTTCTCATCATGCTGGGTGCCCTCACAGGCAGCATTGAACAGTGCTACGCTGGTCACAGATCACTCTCTCCATTTGGCTCCCCAGTGAGGTGTAAATATTTCAGAGCTAATGCATAAGTCATGTACACCTGGTTTCCAAGTGCCACAGCAGCGAGACATAACTCTTGGGTATTTCTGAGCACAGAGGAGCATGGATTATTTTCTGACACTGCAAATGGAAAATACATGGAGATCTTTAATGTTTAACACTCAGACTGGTTCTGCAAATTCTTGGAAGCCATTGCCTCCCAGCCCCAGGCAACATCTAAGTGATGTTCTGCAAACACGTGCACCTTGCCAGGACTGGCAAACACCCCAGGCTGTGTCCACACATGGCACCTACTGGGGCCCCACATCACTGGAAGCCAACATATGGAGTTAATTCACCCAAACATGAACACCCCAAGCACACTGGCTATTGCTGTGCAGGTGGACATAGTAATAGCAAACAACATCAGAGGGATTCATATTATTTCTGCATCTGATAAGTGTTGGGCACCTCTCTGTTTCATTTATAAATAAATCCAGACCTTACAGAAAATCCTGAATGCCTTCATCAGCTTACCCTCATCTGAGAGGAGAAAAAGAGTTAAGTTGATTTGTGACTAAAATGACTGAAAAAATAAAAAAAAAAAGACATCACACTGTGTACTGGGCTGATTGTGGGGGTGAGGCAGGTGTAGATCCCAGAGAGCAGGAGGGCTTACCCAGGTGGTTTGCTCTGTATTTTCAGAGCCTGGTTCTTTGGCTATGAGGTGAAGGGGGAGAAGAGGAGGCACACCAGGGGCTTGCTAATGTTAGGAGAAGGAAGCAGTTGGTCTCTCTGCCCTGAGAAGGAGTATTGACAGAGGTCCTCAGGGGCAGACAGAGAGGCTCACAAGTTTCTGTAGGAGGGAATTGCCTCCTGGTGTACTCCTGCTGTGCTGAGGTAAATAAGGCTCTATCTACAACGGTAAATAAATAAAATAGAACAAAAAAATAGCTGATTCTTTTCATGCACCTTCCAACCAAGGAAAATACTACATACTGTTGAGGAAAATATACACTGCTTTTTGAGATGCTGAGTGAGACTCAAACACATCAGTGGCAGGCAGTGGCCCATGAAATGTTTGATGTTAGTCCATGTGAAAGACACTGTTAACTAGATGGACATGTCACAATCTAAGATACCTATTCTTTTTCTCATGAAAGCAGTGGCCCTAAAGCAAAACAATTTTAATGTACAGACTATAAGGACATTTCTTTGTAGGGAATGAGTAATTTTTCCACCTCAACTTTTTGCCTAGTAATAAAACTGGAATAAACACAAAGGATTTTTCTCCTTTCCATTTCTCCCATGTGTTCCCATCTTCACTTCTTGGGTTTTCAAAATTTCCAGCTCTTTTTTTTTTTCCTCTCCAGTAAATACTCCAAAACACTTTTTTAGGGCCACATCTATAGTAACAGAGATTAAGCTCTCAGCACAGGCATACAGTGATGTGTACTTTGTCACTAGTACCTGTAGCAATTTCTGTATGAAACTCTCATAACCAGGGGCTCAGATGAGATTAACTGAATTTTTCACAATACTTACCCCTCTCCTGCAAATGCCACAATGCTGCAATGCCACACTAAACCTTTCAGATTACAGATGTAGCTTTTGTATTGATATAGGCATGAAATAATTTTGATATCATTTGCAATTGTATTCCTTAAGCATGGCTACAGCATGTCATCCACGACTAGTCCCAGTGCTGTGTGGAGATTATGAAGGGCTGTTGATAGTATTTTTTAACTGAGAAATCATTGGTAGCACCAGTCCTTCTGTTTAAAATATTATTTCCTTCTCCATTCAACTCTTTTGTCATTTAGATTTTATAAGAGAATGTGGCCCGAGACATGCCAAGCCAAAAAAAAAAATCTCTGCAGTTTTTCAATTTTTCTGCTATTCAATAGACTTTGTAAGAGGAAAAAAAAATATTTTTGCTGATTCTAAAAAACTATTTCTAAAGCTTTTCTAAAGCTAAAGTAATACCATAGAAACAGCATCACCATGGCCCACGGGAAGATTGTTTCCATTCCTCCTATGGGTATTTGCAGTCTCAGCCCTGTCATCATCACTGACTTGTCACACTTTGAGGTCTTGATTCAGTTACCTAAACATGGGTGTGTGTTTTCACTGAGCCTCTTTATGGATTTCCATGTGAGACGCATGGGGAGTGTGCAGAACCTCCTGGACCTCTCAGACTGCAGCCAGACTTTAGGCAGGACATCAACCTGGGCAGAACCACACCCACAGCAGCAGTCTGAGCCACTGTGCTGTACAGTGCAGCTGTTTGCCCACACACAGCCAGGTATCAAACACAGCCCTGCACTCAGAGGCTACTTGGTCACTTCTAGAGGAAGCACCTACCAGGCAAAAAAGTTATTTTTCCCAGGAACTGCTCCCTTGCTTTTTGGTATTCAGAGAGATGAGCCCAGAGATGTGTTTCTCGAGAGATCATTTCATTTTGGGCTCAGTTCATTCGAAATTCTACTTTGAAATTGTCCACAGGGATGAATGAGCTATGTTTTAGAGGGAAACCCAGGTCCTCTTGAAGTCTCTAAGCATTTTTCAACTGTCTCCAAATAAATTAGTATCTCTTCCTAGAAAGCATCTATCTGGACCAAGTCAGGGACATCTTTTTTGCCATCAACATTATGTAGAGAGGCAATAGGTGAACAAAGCTGGTCTCAGTGATAAATGCTCCATCCCAGAGACCACTCTGAAAAGAGCACTGATGTAGCTGCTCTTGGAGAAACTGAAAGGAAACTGGACTGAAAGTCAAATCTGTTAGGGTATTTTCTTCATGATTTTTAAAGAGCAGCCCCAGAAGCATTACTTCAATTTTTGTAGTACTTAGAATGCAACAGCAATGAAACCTTACATTACAGGGAGTATGTGCTCCCACCAGAAAATGTCTTCAACAGCTCATAAAAACCTGACCATTTATCAGCACTGCAGGAGATCTTTATTACCTCCCTACAGCATATGCTCTGCTATGATGTAGTTATTGATTTAACAAGTAAACTTCATGGCGAGCTTTTATCTTGGAATTAGCAGCAAGACTGAAATATAGACCTTATTACTCTAATAACACAGAGATGTGAGATTCCTGCATATTCCAAAGGCCATATCATCACCTTAACAAGCATCCCATTAGGGCTATCTGGCTGCCACATTAAAGTGTGTGCTGTGAGGACTTTAACAATTGTGGTATCATACTCACCCCCAGCAATTTCACAGCACTTTTGTTTTTCTTCCTACAGGTTTGGACATCAGGCAAGCTCAGGTTATTGTGCTGTCATCGGGTACCAAATGTATAAACGGGGAATACATAAATGACCAAGGGCTTGTGGTCAACGACTGCCATGCAGAAATTGTGGCAAGAAGGGCATTTATTCACTTCCTCTACTCACAGCTGGAGCTACACTTAAGGTAACTGAATTCTGTTGATTTTTGGGGGCTGTTATATGGCCTTCAGTGGAACAGATCCATCCTCCAGACAACTGAACTATTTGTTTCTTTATGTCATTTTTTCTGAGTGTTTAGGTGATGAAGGAACAACACACTGCACCAAAAAAAAATGGAGAGCTAGGTAGTCTAAAGTGTTGGGTCATGAGCTGCTTTACTTCAGCTGATTCTCTTTCAGTAGTGATTAGATATGACTCATAAAGCTGGGCTTTATGAAGCCTGATGATTTTGTACAAATCTTTACGTGCATGCTTATTAGCATCATTCACTGACCAGAGACTTGAAGAGAGTCATTTTGCTTAATGCAGCCATTTTCCTGTCTTCCTTGCTGCTGCTGAAAGATCTCAAAGAAGTGATTTATTGATCATTAATGTCTTCATTGACTCACTACAGAGCCAATGAGTGTTAACAGCACAGCAAACTTTGTGCCAAAGTGTAAGATGCTATCACTTACTCCCTCTTTATAATGTTTTAAAATGTTATAGCATGTAGAATCATTACAGTGGAATTACTGTTCTTGTTTTCAGCCAAATCCACCTTGTTACCATTTAAATGGCTAATGGGTCATACACTGCCTGGAAGATGGTAATAAGTGGGATACCTCACCTCAGAATGCTGTCTTTTCTTTTCTCTGATCATGTCCATCAACAATCCAGAACAGGTTATGTAGTGCTTGGTTATAAGGTTTCCAGAGGACACCAAAATGTGGGAAGGACCAGTCACTGTGCTCGAGGGCTGGTCTGTCATCCCAGCAGGCTGGAGGGCTGGACCAGCAGGAACTTTGACAGAAAACTCAGCAAACAAATGCAAAGTCCCACACCAAGGAAGGAAAAATTACCTTCCTCCTTGCCACCAAGAAGGAAAAAAATACAGGCTGGAAAGCAGCTCTGCTGAAAGGGGATAGGGCTTGTAGGCAGACAGGAACCAGGACATTAGCTAGTGGTGTGCCTAACAGCAGGGAGGGTCAGCAGGATCCTGGGAAGTATGAAGAGTCAAGGGATGTGTGCATCCACCACTAACCAGCACCCATTACAGCCCATCTACAAAGCTGTGTGCAGTTCTGTGTGCCCCAAAGGAAAGACATCAATCATCTGGCACAGATCCAGCAGAGGCTGCCCAGAGTCTCAGGGGCCAGAGCACTCAGGTTGTGTGGAAGTGCTGGCAGGTCTGGACCTGGTCAGCCTGCAGGTGGGATGGCAGAGCCAGCAAAGCATGGCAGCAACACAGGGGAGCTGAGACCTTTAGCGAGGTGTGCAGTGGGAAGGTGACAGACAAGAGCAGCTCAGTCTCAGTGAGTGTGAAGACTGATCTTCCCAAGGGGATAGGCTAGCAGTAGGACAGATCACTCGGAAGGATTGTGCAGTCTCTCTGCCATCTTGGACATTTTCAAAATCTGAGTGCATAGAACCTTGAGCAATCTGTCCAAACTACTTTGAGAAGGAGGTTGTGATAGAGATTAATGGACCTTACCAGCCTGAATTATCCTATGATGTAAAAACTAAGCAGAAGTGAAGCTGAGGTGGCATTTATTATATAGGAGGAGCCAAGAAATGAAGGAAAACAAACAAAAAAACCCTTTCTCTATAGGTCATTCTTCTGCCCTCCATTCTTGAGTGCATATTCATGTGACTTTTTCTGAAGGCCATTAAACTCAGCAAAAACTTCCTTTGACTTCAGAAGGTTTTGCATCAGGTCACAGACATAAGGGTTAAGCTGAGCAGGGTTGTGTGATCTTGTGAGCACCTGTGATACTGTTGCACCTAAGCAACAATAACAGGAGTAATGGCTATTTTCACTTCAGGCTGGAGCTGAAGACAAGAGAGTATATTGAGTACATGGGTTTGGCTAACAAAGAGGGACAAGAGCATTGAAGGGTTTAATCAACAACAATATTCTCTCTATTTCATTCTGAATTGCTTTCAAGTTTACATTAAATTATTATGTTTTCAGCAGTGTAGCAGCCCTAGTACTTGCTTTGTTCTATGGTCTCTTGGGAAACAAGTGCTAACACTGTATCTTAAACTATTGTATTGATCCACCTCCCTAACATGTTCAGTCATATTATTGCTTTATTTGGATCAATGCTAACAGCCTTTTGTTAAGAGAATCCTCAGTGCAGCAAGAGCTCTGTTCACAGTAACTTCAAATCACTCTCTGTTCAGCCAAGACCAGGCACCACCACTTGCCTGACCAACACACACCATAAAAATCTCAACCAAAGTTGCCAAGGGTAAGCACCTGTGAATAACAGAGCTGGAGTTGCTATCAAATCAGATTCTGCTTCCTTAAAGTCCATGGAGAAGCAAAACTGTGTGTTGTGGTATATGCTTCAATTTTAATATTTATTGCTACACACAATTATCTGCCATCATCGGGAGCTTTGTCCTGTGGTGACAAAATGAGAGGTTCAAAATGAAATAAAAAATGCATTTTCTGCACATTGAAATCATATTTAATCCTTTTTCTCTAGAAAAAGGGAGTCATCTTTTACAGAGAAAACACATGATGCTGCCACATAGCTATAAGGACAGAATTTTAGGACTGACGTGGTAACTCAGCTCCACCATGACTACATGTACACCATCTCCTCAGGCTTGGGGGAAACACAAAGCTAATGTAATGCATTTGCATTAACCTAGCCCAAATTAAACTCCTCTCCTAGGTCAGGAGACTGTTGTACAAAGTAATAAATGAACTGAAACCAAAAGGATGGTTTTCTTTTGAGAGCATTATTCCTGACTCAAAGAACTTAAATTTTCCATCATGCACTATGGAACAGGCAAGTTTGTTCTGTGGAGAGTATTTCCTATTTTCCATACACCTTCCTCCTACCAAGACTACCTGCTGTGAGTGGTCTCTGCAGCTGGATTTCAAACTTCAGGAACTTTCAGTGCAAGAAATATTTTTCTGTGTGATGCTGTCTTTGAAAAGGAATTTCTTTTCCAGAATTTACAAATACTATCACTGATCTCAGCGAAAGCAAAACTCATACTAGTCTGAGTGTAGCATGAAGGCTTCTAAAAGCAAGGACAAGCAGGCTGGAGAAAGCAAGGGCCAGGATACAAAATTAATGGCCAGGAGACAGGGATTCACTGATTTGCATTTAATTCTTGGCAGTCAAGTGTTTCCCAGATCCCCAAGGCACCTTTTATCACCAGTGTGGAGAAATGGGCATCTCTGAGGTGGAGCTCAGCAGACCTGTTCAGGTGTCTGTTGTAGGGGAGATGAACTGCCATGTACTGGGGCAATTATTTTTCCATTTCTCTAAGAAGAGAATATGGCAATTTCTTTATATTTTTAAACTGCAGGACAATTCCATCCACAAGGCAATGTTGCAGCAAGATGCAAATTACTTTTTTCCCCTTCTCTTCTTATTGCTGAATGTTAGAGGTGTGACTTTCCTGACTGTTTTGGAAAAGAGTTCCAGAAATGGAACTTTATCCTCTCTAAGAAGCAAGAGTGACAAATACTTCAAAAGGAAACTTTTTTCAACAATTCATTGTCTATAGCTTAAGTTAAATAAAAGCTAAAAGCACAACTAAAACCTGTCAGCTTCTAACCAGTGTGATTAAAATCCTTAGCCCTCCCAGATTTCATTTTTATGACAACCATAATCCTTCAGTTCTCCAGACTTTCACGAAAAAGATGAGAAGACTAAAATTTTCTGATGTACAAAAGAAGGACAAGAAAGACCTTTTGAGAAGCTTTTTCTAAGAATCACCATCAAAATGCACACAAATTTGATAGTCTGATTCTCTTGCAATGGTGATAGGAAAATTGACATCATTTTCAGTGGTATTATTTATATCAACTGGCCAAAAGGGAAGAAAGGAAAATACATCTCCTCTTTTTTAAAGAAAAACAAAATTATTAGAGTATCCTTAAAATAAATCACCACCATAGTAGGCTTGCTGCTGTAGTGCACCCTTCAGGTGCTAGGGAGATGATTTTACCAGAAGGTAAGCTCTTTCAGCAAGTCAGATGCAAACCACTGTTTATTTTATACATAAAAAGCAAGGAATAGTCTTAATCCAATCCAGTTACTTTTTCCAGGAAAATCAGCTACTTGTTACACATCTACTAAGCCTGCTGTTAGTTTCTCTGGGATAAACTACATATATTTACATGCTAAAAAACTGCTCCTCTGCTTCTCAGTCTTTGTTTCACCAAAATGCTTCATATGCATTAAACCATAAGCATGTGCTAAAGTATCTTCTTCAAGTCAGCTCAAAAGCATGGGCACGTGTTATGCTGAATAGTGAAATTAAGCAAAAGATTAGAATTTAGCACCTTCTTAAATGTTCCACTTGAGTGAGCCTCAAATCCTAACTCCCACAGAAATCCGTAACAGGCATAGGTTTAGGGATGAATTCTGCTCTTTTAGGCACTGCCAGTATGCAGAAATGACACTTTAATGCCACCCCCTGAATGAATGGGACCTGTGGGCTCACTGTGGGCTCCTCTCTCCATTGCTTTGTGCAGGTTGTGTATGGCTGTGCAAAGGCCATGGTAAAGAACAGCAAAGTCATCTTCCCTCTCACAGTTCAAAACGCCTGTCCCAGAGGCAAGGCACAGGGTACTGGTGCTGGAGTAGAGGTGACTGCAGAAGTGCATCTCATGCTTTACCTGGACCATTTTTACCAGATCCCTGGGTCCCCCTGGGTTTTGAAATACACCAAACATCCCATGCACAATAATCTTTACTAAGCCATGGTAGATGATGCAACCTAAACTCTTTTCCAGCAACACTCACTGAGTTTTGTAATGAATCCTATTCAGCCACAATGCAAGAATGAACCTCATGTTTGAGTTCAACTCCTAAAAAACCATCCCAAAGGCAGGTCAGGACCCTATGGGATATGAAGAACCTCAGCCTGCTGGAGGAGAGAGTCAAGTTGCCTTGCCCTCCAGCCCTGCCAACTATTTTTAGAGCAGCTGTCTATCATCCAGCCTGGCAGCCATACTGGCCACAGACCCTTGCTGATGCTCATGAAGAGCTAAGAGAGCAAGGTTAATCAGTGAAAAACAATGACCAGTGAAAACAGGGCAGAAGCTGAACTCCTGAAATCCAGCCCAAAGCATGACTGCTCCAACCCTACATAGCAACTGTCTCCAAGTACTGTAAGCTGCCCCCACCACACTCTGGTGAGATTTAATGTAATAATAGCAGGCATTTGGACTGCACAGCTTTGTATTCCCCCAGCTGGTTCTGCAGTAAATTATTTAAAACTACCTGCAATTGCTCTAAAGTCCAAGCAGCAGGACTTACAGAGATTTTATTATTTCAGAGGCTTGTATCAGGGCGATAATATAATTAGTGCAGTTGGGAAGTTCCACCACAGCCAGCAGAAAATGAAGGAGCAGCATGTGGCAGCCCCAGCTCGGCAGCCGGTGTGACTCCCTGTCCCTGACAGGCGAGCTAATGTGCCTGTAAATTCCTCCTGACAGCAAACGCATCCTGGCATCAAGAAATGACAAAACACCCAAACCATGGAAGAGTGACAGCCAAACAGCTTCAATAGCACAGAGGCTGCACTGGGACAAAACAGGCAGAGGCAGCCTGGATGAAAGCCAAGGACTGGCTCAAAGGCTGAGTAAAAAGCACCCCTGTTTGCACTATCAGGAGGCAGAGAGACAGGCAGAAATCGCTTTGGTTAATGAGCTGTCCTGTAGTGAATTAAACAGGTGGGATTCTGCCTTATTGACAGCATCCTAGGAAAATCATTACCTGCAGGTGCAGTTCTGTTCAGAGATTCCTCCAAAAAGACCCCTGAGTTTTTGAGGGAAGGACCAGGCCACCAGAGGGAAAGTAGTCTCATCTTAATTTCTCCAATCATATTTTCCCCTTCAAAATTATAATCGTGACCATCACCCAAACACACATATTAGAGGCAGCTGTCTGTCAGAGAAATCACCCATGTCTTCCCAAATGTAACCCACTGGAGGAGCTGCACAGCAGCAGAGCCTTAATGCTGTGCTGTTGCTGCAAACAGCAGCACTGGGAGGGTTTGGCCTCCCGGGCAGCTGTTGCTAATGGAATATGTGCACTGCATCCCCATCTAGCTGCTGAACCACTGCAAAAATAAAAGCTTCATCTCAGTAAGTATCTTTCTCAACTCAGCTGAGAAAATCCCACACAACTTTTGTGCATCCTTCTTAAGTTTTCTTTTGATTTCCAAAAATGCCAAGTGACCAAGAGGACCCTGCTGGCCTAGGTGGAGCACTTGTAGGTGGCTCTGGTTGAATAGGGGAAAAGAGCAACACCTGGGGAGCAGGAAGGGCTGGCAGTGCACATAAAATTTGGGTGCTTCCTTAGAGGCTGTTTTCAGTGGGACATATGAACACACATCTCAGCTGTGGTGATTGATGTTAATGGCATTCAAACATGTGCCTAGGCAATGTGATCAGTAGAGCTGATGTGTTCACACGAGAGCCCAAGAGAGCTCATTTTTTCATGCACAGAGCCACTTTAAAATCAGTATGTTTATGCATCCATTCATGTGAGGAAAAACAGTTACCCTTCAAAAAACACATTTTATCATTAGAACATATCTTAGGTAAGTAAGCCAAAAGCCCTTTGGCAGTTTTGACCTCCTTCACACATTTCTTCACCTGGAAAAGCTTATTGTTTCCCTTTGCTGTCACTAGGCAAAATATATGATGCCGAGTGCTAATAAAAACAAACAAACAAACAGAGGGAGAAAAGGAGAGAGAGAGAGCACAGAAATGTTTCTGATTTGGCATGTAACAAATGACCTGGAACCTCTTTTGTGATCATAGCAAACGGCGAGAAGACTGGGAGCGATCAATCTTCGTGCGATTAAAAGAAGGCGGCTACAGGCTGCGGGAGAACATCCTGTTCCACCTGTACGTCAGCACTTCACCCTGCGGAGACGCGCGCCTTAACTCCCCCTACGAAATCACAACCGACTGTAAGAGACAAATCTTCCCTCTGCTTTTCCTCCTTTCTGTGCATTTGGTCTTTTCTGTTGTTGTTGGGTTGGGTTATTTTTCGATCCTTCTTGCTCTCTTTCTTTGCTGGCAGAAAGTGTTTCACTTGAGAGCCAAAACACTGCAGGCATTAGAGAGTGTGTGTCTGTCTGTGCAAATGGTGCTCAGTCCTGTGGGCAGGGAAAACAGAGCTGGGCAAGGCAGCTCCACACACCTGGGGCTCTGTGGCTGGGGAATACACCCCTACATTTCCTGCTTGATGCATACAACCCTAAAAAGTAAATAAGTGTTTTGGAAAGCATCCCCATGATCAAAAAAATCCTTGAAGCCATAGCCAGAGGCTGGACCAGAGGATCAGGGCTCTAACTGGAGATGCATAAACTCTTCTCAGGGTTCACAGAGTATGCATGTGTTGAAGGGTTGCATTTTCACCGGCTGCAGCAGCTGGAATCTGAAGTAGAGCACTTCATATGTGATATATGATACAGCACATCTATAGTGTTGACTGTTCATCAGACTCTCTCCAAATATCACCTGTACTTGCAGCAAATAATGACAAGACCATTATGGAAGGGATCCTTCCAGATCCTTCCAATGAGCAAATCGGGTCTTGAGCCAGTGTGTGCCACCAACAGACCTGCAGAGCTGGCTGTCCATGATGACAAATCCCATCTCCAGCATGACCCAGCACTCACCTCCTCACTCCCCAGACATGCCTGTCCCTGTCCTTGCACAGCTTTGTCCCTGCCTAGCCACATGGAATGGCCCAGCAAGGGGCAGGGGACCCAGAGATCAGTGGCTTGTTATCACATGCCTGTCACCCCCTGATCCAATGCACAAGGACTCTCTTATCTCTGCCCCAGCTACTGCTCCTCATATGTGCATTTTACAGTGCTGCAGCCCATAGTGCTGGCTGCCAAATGTACACATAATGAGAAACAGTCCTTGCCTTGACTACCTTGAATGTGAGGCAGGCAAGACAAAAGAATGGATGGAGGAGGAAGCATAGACACAGGAATGTAAAATTAATCACCCAAGGTCACACAACAACCTCACTTCCTCACAGACAAATCCATCAGATTATAGTTTCACTCCTTTGTGATTTCTTATTTGTATAAGTAATTTATTAATTATTATTATGGTATTATTCTGTCCAGACTATAATTTTTTTTTTTCACATGTGAAACAGCAGCTTGCTGGGGCAAGAAAGCAGAATGCACCTGTTCAGGAAGGACTCATGGTCCTCACCTGACATGATTTCTGCATTGGGTCTTCAGGGTTTATAAAATGAACAAATGGAAGTAAATGCTTAAAACTCAAAATCAAATCAACAATTTCCTGATGACTTAACAAAATGAAAAGACATAGCATCATCTCAAATCAAAATTGAAAATAAAAAAGGGATTGCTTATGAATATCAAAAAACTATAGTGATCTTTGGCCTCCCACTGTATAGGTGTACCAAGAGATATCTAAAAAGGCTTTATGTTCAGTTAAAGGCATGTTTTCCAGAAGGCAGGTTTTCTGGGGCACCCCTTAGCTGATACCACAATCGGAAGCACCAACATCTGTAATTATTTTTAAAACTTGTTCCATTCTCAAGAACAACCAAAAGCTGTCCAGGCTGGATGAGCAAGTCCATGCTTTGGGCAGCTGACAGCCCATGCTGCCTGATTATATGCAGCTGAACCCAGCCCTGGAGGTGAACCCTGCTTGGCTCATGGATTTCTTCACAGACAGATAAATCTCCCAGCTAATGAGGGAATGCTTCTGTAGATAACAAGATATACAAGCAACTGTGTTTAAAAATATGTAATCACACAGTGCATGACACAGACAGTAAACTTGTAGATAATCATGAAAATAACTTTCCTGTTGGCTATTACACCAATTATTTTCCCTAAGCTGAGGCAGAAAGGTCTGTGTAGCTTAGCCAAGGTTGCACAGTGATTCAGTAGCAGGACCTGAAAAGATGCTACACCTGGCTCATAATTCACGCTTTTAAACAGATCCTTCTACCTTTGTCCTGTGCTCTTAAAATAATTTAGCACAGTGTAGAAAGCCATGTTGCCAAAAGCTGTCCTTCAGAGAGATAAGCATTTCCTCTCAGCTCACATTATCCCAGAGACATCTGGGAAGATAAGTATTTTATAATGTTTATCATTTAGATCTTCTCTTTCCTCTTTTTTTTTTTTTTTCCTAAAGAAATAACCTTTCTTTCATCCTGTAATGACAAGAAACTCCAGATGAATGTTGTTTAATTTCTTAAACAACAAAGAAACCTCTCCTAGAGCTAGCACAAGCCATCAAACATTACTGATTATTCTCTAAAGATGCATTAACATTTAAAAACGTTGTCTCACCATGTGGTTCCTGGTTTTGAGAAGAGACATGATAAGCCTTTATCAATATAGGGAGTGAGTAAAATCCACTTCTCAAATCTCCTTCCAAAAATTTCCTATTATCCACCGTGTCTTTCCAGCACCCTCAGGGAGGCCTCACATTTCCTTCTTATGAGCTTTGTTCTGGTAAGGGAGGACGTAAGCTGGCATGCTTTTGAAACCCAGTTTGCTTCTTACAGGATAGAGCAGAGTACCAAGTTTGTGGCATGTGTAAAAGTCTGACAGCTGCAATGCAGAGGAGAGGTCCAGGGAGCCCCCAGCCATGCAGAAAAGTAAGAGATTAGGGACAAAGAGATAAAACTGTACTTTAATTTAAAGAAATGGCCTTCTTGAATCAGAGGGAAGCTGACTTGTTTGTTGGTAACATCCTTAGGCAGCTCTAAAAGAGAGACTAAATCCAAATGGACCAGGCTACTTTGAGCAGGGAGGGGTTTTCTAACTCTTTTTTGGTGCCTGTAGGTCAGGAGGTTGGATGAGTTTATGGGAAGTAAAGTCAGAGTTCTGGGAGAAAGTACAGTCTTGAGAGAGCAGGGGAAGAGGCTGAGGGGGGAAAAGCAAGAGCAGCTGAGAGCAGGAGAGGAGATCAGCCAGGGTCAGTGGAGTTGCATGAATATGAGGCTGGGAAATGCCACAGGGGTTTCAGACCCTTCCTATGGGTTTGTCCTGGCTCATTCTCTCTGGTCAGTCTTCTTCCCAAAACCCTTTTCCAAGGTCAGCCTGAAGGTTGTAGTGCAGCTATATGGCAAAAAGGCAGCATGTTCCTGGTGTCCTCACAGCTCCCATTGCTCCTTCACAGATGCTGCTTCTTCCCCTCCTTCAGTTCAGTGCTGCAGGTCAGGGAGCCTGGGACATCTCCTTTTCTGGTGCCTTCTCCCTTGATGGACATCTGAGCAGGTGTGCCTGGATTTCTGAGCTCTCCCAAGGGCAGGATCACAGCATCAAGTCACCGTGGGTTTCCTGAGGGGTCTAAGGGAGCTGCTGTTTGCCATTATGGCACACACACTCCTGCTCATGAGGTGCAGCCCTGGGGGCAGTATTTGTTGCATATTTTGCACTTTCTCCTGAATCTAGGGCAAACCACAGAATAATCAAGCTCTTGATTTGCTACAGCACCCTCCTAGCTAGTTTAGTATTTCTTGACTCATTGGCTTTTTTTTTTTCTCTTTTTTTTAAAGTCTCTTGAAAAGCAAAATTAATTGCTTGAAAATTTGAGCTTAAAAAATGTCCTCTACTTCCCCACTCCTTCTTCCCTGGCAGTATTTTACCTTATTGTCCATCTTTTTTCTAGAGATGTGCTCTATCTTTTTCACTACATGGATTCCAAAGAGACAAACAGAATCTGCCCCAGGGCTTGTCTCAGTTCTTCTCCCCTGGGCTGCTTTTCTATCTCTTGCTAACATGCTGTATTGCCTTGTGCCATTGACTCCCTGATAGCCCAGCTCCTGTTTTATCCCACACTTCCTTTAGGTCGGAAACACACCATTGCTTCTGCTCCACATGGGGTTTTTCTCCTGCTTGTCTATTAACCTACAGCTGTGCTGAAGCTCTCATGCACACACATTTGACAGAACTCTCATCTAAGCAGGACCCGCTTCCAACCACGTGAGCCAGATCATTGCCTTGGTAGGTGATGTGATGAGGAGATGTGCACTGCAGTTTTCAGAGAGTTGGAGAGCTGAAGAGTACCCAGGAAGACACATTTGTGCTCTCTACTTCAAGTGTGCTTTCGCTGGGCAGACCTGTGCTTCCCCTGCTTGTGATTCTGGCTGCTGGATTTTACATTCCATCCTCAGAAAATAAGGCTCTGTTCACCCCCAAATGCAGGGCTGCTGTCAAGGGGTGCCCTGCTCACACCAGTAACTCAGCATTTTGTTTTCAGATGGGGCTGACCCAGGTTTTGTCATCCCAAACCAGATCCCTGAAAGTCAAATCCTGAGCAGACTGGCTGGAGGAGGCCAGATTCACACAGAGACCCTCTAAGGAGTCTGATGATCTCCTAAAACTGTCGTGAGAGTCTCAGCCCCAGAAGTCAGCATTCAGTGTCTTTCAGGGAGTTTTCAGGATGGAAATACAATGAGGATGCTTATGGCAGAGGCTGGGCTAGAATCACTCCCCAAACCATTGGGTTTGGTGAACATTTCTGGACGTGCAAGGGGAAGAAATCTCTGCCTCCCTTTTGCCAATCCCATGTTTGGTTAAATGAGCAAATTCTGTTCCTGTAAATAGATGGTAAAAGGGGAAAGCACTTCAAGAAGAACCATCTAAGTAACTCAGTGATCTGAAAAGAAATTAGATATCTGGAACTACAAGAAAATTCAGGTTCTAACAAAGTGGTGAACTTTCCCATTATAAAAATAGAAGATAACCATAGGTCTCCCCTTGGACTTGAGCGCTATTTTTTGTTTCCATTACACAAGTGCTCTCAAGTATTGCATCTCTCCATCATGGCTGCTGGCCTGATGCAGCCTGGAAAACTATCTTGGAAATTCGTAGCTATCTGGTGCATGGAGCAGCTTCCTCCTGGGCTGTAAAGTTGATTTTATGCTGATGAATGGCCCATCTGTGGAACTGGGATGAAG